ACCTAAGTGGAGTTCTCAATGAAGAATCTTTAGTTCTTTTAAAGTCTGAGCAGTTTATGATGCCCAGTTTGAGAAACACTCTTTATGTTCGTATTCTCACGGTGTAATTCAGGGTGTCATTAGTTCCATCTAACGTATCTGCTTCAAATGTTACTGCAAAACATACAATTTTGTTTCTTTTCTTGAGAATTTATTCCCATTGAGATTAAAAATTATTAAATTATAAGTGGCTGAAGTACTTTCCTTTTAATTTTAATGTATTTTCTTTTTCTTACTCTTTTTGATGTAGAGTTGTAAAAATAATTAATTTGAATAAGGATTAACTTGAACAAAGTCTAGTTTATGTACTTTTTCTTTCTTTGATTAGAGAATAATTTGCAGTTCTAGGTTAGACATGGATGACAGTGATATACTTTAGAGTCACCAAGGTGGGTTTGTATTTGTATATTTCCACATCATTCTTTAAAAAATGAAATGGTGTAAATAAGTGCTAATGTTTCCTGAAGGAAGATGGCCATCCTGCTCATGCTGGTGCTCTATGGCTCTAGATATGTTTACAGCAAACAGGACTCAAAAACAGTGAGGGACTGACTGTCAGATGTACAGTCAGCTGTCCTTTAAACGATCATTAACCCACATCAGGAAATACCATAAAGAAGGATTTATCTACTTCAGCCAGCAGAGGGCAGTGTACACATAAAAGTACACTACCAATTGTAAGACTTCCTTTGGTTTCTTTGGCAAATGTGTTAAAATTCCTCAAGTGGTTTATGTTTAGAATTAGCAGTACTGATAGGACAGGAAATTGGCTGGGTGGGACAGTGGTTAAAGGGGTTCTGTCTAAAAGCTTAGATCAGAAATATGTGCTACCATAATGTTACTGTTCTATGAGGAATGTCCTCTGTCAAACTCCATTTTGAATGACCAAATAATCTGTCATGTGGGAAGTTAACTCTTTAACTATTGTTTCGATATAATTTCTACAAAAAAAAGAAGTTTGGTGGAAAAAGCATGGGTTTCAAAGTCTGATCTAGGCCATAATTCTGCAAACGCTCCTAATTGGCTGTGTGATCTGTGGCAGATTACTTAAACTTGTTCAGTTTCCATTTCCTTACCTGCAAAATTTACATAATGATCTGCTAGGAAAAGATGCAGAATATAATTGACCTTTGTAAAACACATAGTTGTAAATATAAGTTGCTTTCTTGAATCAGAACTCGTTATTTCTTGTCACATTTATGCTGTTTATCTAATGAGGTTAAGTGATAGGTTTGAAAGCAGTATAATTCCATTATATAGCCATCTGAGGCTAGTACAAATTTTCCTGAAGAAACTCTGTTATAAAAAAATGGTATGTTCAATAAGGGGTTAATATCCAAAATACGTAAAGAACTTATAAAGCTCAACACCAGAAAAAAAACAACCTGATTAAAAAATGGACAGAGGACCTGAATAGACATTTTTCCAAAGAAGACATGCAGATGGCCAACAGACACATGAAGAGGTACTCAACATCACTAATCATCAGGGAAATACAAATCAAAACCACAATGAGATGTCACCTCACACCAGTCAGAATGGCTAGTATCAAAATGACAAGAAATAGCAAATGTTGGCAAGGATGTGGAGAAACAGGAACCCTGTTGGTGGGAATGTAAATTGGTGCAACCACTGTGGAAAACAGTATGGAAAACAGTAATTTTCCTCACAAAATTAAAAATAGGAATACCATATGATCCAGTAATTCCTCTACTGGATATTTACCCAAAGAGATAAAAAACATGAATTCGAAAAGATATATGCAACCCTATGTTTATTGCAGCATTATTCACAATTGCCTAGACATAGAAGCAACCCAAGAGTCCAGCAATCGATGAATGAATAAAGAAGATCTGGTGTATATATACAAGGAAATACTATGCAGCCATAAAAAAAGGATGCATTTTTTTTTTTTTTTTTTTGCCATTTGTGACAATATGGTTGGACCTAGAGGGTATTATGCTAAGTGAAATCAGACAGAGAAAGGCAAACACTATATGATTTCACTTAGCTGTGGAATCTAAAAAACAAATGAACAAACAAACTGACTCTTAAATACAGAGAACAAACTGGTGGTTACCAGAGGGGAAGTGGGTGGGGGGGGGATGAGCAAAATAGGTAAAGGGGATTAAGAGGTACAAACTTCCAGTTATAAAATAAATGGGTGATGGCAATGAAGACATGTGCAGCACAGGGAGTATAGTCAATAATACTGTCATGCGTGGTGACTGATGGTGATAGACACTTATTGTGGTGAGCATTGAGTAATGTATAAAATTATTGAATCACTGTGTTGTACACCTGAAACTAATATAACATTGTATATTCACTATACTTCAGTAATAAAATTTTTTAAGTGGCAAGTGTCTAAGAAATAGTATAATCAATAATCTTAATATTTTATTCATAGCTCCTTAACTACTAACATGCTCCAAAATTTAACTGGTGGCTATGAAATTTGGGATAGTCTGTAATCGTTCACTGCCATAGTTTACTCTCTGGGCATTTCCTAATTCTTTGTGTGTGTTTATTTTCCATGAAATATTTTCTTGCTTACTAGAAATTGGCAGAACTCAGGTCTTAGGATACATAGATGATACAATGACTGATAGTGATAGATTTGAAAGTGTTAAGGAAACCAGCAGTCAAACACTGGGGCAAGCTTGAGTAATGAGGGACATCAAGGGTTATGTTGCTTGAGGATACTCTTCTCCTTTTAGGTAAACACTTTGGTCTTTGAGATATGGAGTTGAAAAAAAAATCTGCAGATATTCTTGGTTGAGATGGGCAGGGAATGTGAATAGAGAGGAGTCATGAAAAGGTGATGAAAAATATGTAGAGTTGAATATCATCATCTCAAGTGTGAGCCCTGATAAACTGAAGATAGGATGAAAGAGAGAAAAAAGAAAAAGTTATCAAGTTTGCCATTTTCTTCAGCATCAAGGTAACATAAATTCTGAACAGTTGCAAATAGTAGATTTCATATGGAAGGGGTATATTTTAAATGCGTATTGTTCATAGGTGTATGATATTTACATGTATGACATGTATGTAATAATGTTTGATAGACTACAGATAATAGTAATGTTTCATGTGGGACATTTTATGAACCATGATGTTTCCACTTAGATGAAATTGGTAGCTGACATTCCTGGAGTGTCTTGCTTACCCTGAAGCAGGACTTAATGCTGCGAGGTAATGGAGCAGCTCTTGCCAGATCTCTGACTGCACAAGAGATTTGGAGCTTTTGGGTTTTCCAGGAGTTTTTGTTATGAATGTCTTACTTCACAATCAGCCTTGTAGAAGAAGGCATTCCAGCACAGGACCCAAATACATACCTCACACTGATTATTCTGTACTCCCTGAGAGATGGATAAAATAGGAATGTTTTTCCTCCCAGAGGTTGCGTCTCTAAGGTTATAGCCTTTCCTAACTTTTTCCAGGAGCATATATTTCTCTGCCTCTAGATCCCTGTACCACTGAACACTTGGTCTGGTACGGGCTTATCTTGCTTTTAGTCTATTCTGAGGAAGTCTTGAGGTCTAAACTACTCAGATAAATATACCATAGTAGTACATGTTTTCTTTTTCTTTTTATTAAGATTTTATTTATTTGAGAGAGAGCGCAATAGAGAGAGCATGAACAGGGTGGAAAGGCAGAGGGAGAGGGAGAAGCAGACTCCCCACCGAGCAGGGAGCACGACGCGGGGCTCGATCTCAGGATGCCAGGATCATGACCTAGCCGAAGGCAGACACTTAACTGACTGAGCCACCCAGGTGCCCCGGTAGTACATGTTCTCTTGATAACCGTTTTTAGCATAGCTCTTAATTACTACTTTTGGGTTTTCCAGGCTCCTGCTGTTCATTTCCAGTCTCTTACTCTGATCATCATATTCTCTGCTTTTTATCACCAGTTCGTCCTCTTTATGTCCTTTAGGTCAAAGACCAGCTATTTTGTTAAGCTGTCTCTCTGGTCTATGAGGAAGCCTACCTCCCATTGTGTTTCAGCTTTTGTATCCTACCTCTGCTTCCCCGGGTGAGCTGTATATTGGCAGCATAGGTGGTCTAGACCCACTAGCAGCTGAGCCTGAGTCGGTCTCCAGCCCGTCCTCAGCTGTCTTACTCTAAGCCTGCATGCTGGAATCTCTCTTCTCTTCTTCGCCACTGCAGCTCCAGAACATTCCCTGAAGTAGTCCGCAGTGCATTTCGAGATAGAGGTGATCATGCATGGCCTGGAAGCGGCACAGGGAGAAGAGAAGACAGAAGGCAGAGCTGGGAAGGACCTCATGTTGTGATTCCTCCTGTGTGGGAGAGGAAACGGAGAGGACATTCAGCAAACTCATGTGCCGTTAAATCTAACTCCCAGACAGTAAGGGGAAAGCCTCAGAATTGGGGAGAGTTTGAACCCATTTGGATTTTAGCCATCAATGCTGGCATGTTAGATTTGCATTTGAACAAGTTGAGTTTGGTCTCAGCAAGGAAGATAGACTGGAGAGGGAGCCACTGAAGGCATGGCAACTGGCCATTTAGGGGAAGAAGGCAAGGAGAGACACGGAAGCTGAAACTCTAGTACCGGCATTGTGGGCGAAGAGAAGTGGATTTGAGACATTTAGGATGCAGAATGGAAGATTTGAGGTCTGACTCGATGGGAGAGGAAAAGGGCGAGGCATTTGACCCAGGCTTCTGATTTCAATGACGAGGTGGAGCATGAGGCACAGAGCTGTGAGGAGAAGTGGAGCAGCAGGAGCGATGTCGGCATCTGGACAGAGCTCTAAAATATAACCGAGTAACGACATTTCTGCCAGGATTAAGCTAACGTAGCTCAGGAGGTGGACACGTTTTCTGGAGATCTTATTTGGTATAAGGACCGAAGTTAGAATACCTGGAGGAACAGACGATGGCATATCCCTTCCTTTCGGCTGACTCTTCAGTCAGACTTCTGGTGCATTTGAAATGCGCAAGCCAAGGTTAAATGCTGGATTGTTAGATATTGCTGCTGTCCTGGGAACAGTCCTGAGATGTGGACCAGACTGGAGTCCTCCTCTGAAGTCGACGGTACTCCTAGGATTATGGTATCCCTCAGGCATCCTTGCGGCTCCCTCGATGTCCTCCTGGTATAAAAATTTTGTGTCATTGAAATAATCCTCCTAGTTGCTAGAACGAAGTCAGTAGTACTTCTGATCCAGTTCTGTTGCTTTGTGGGTAGGCAGCTCAGCTATCAAAGCTTAGTTTATTACCTGGATCCCCAGAGATACTCCTTGAGTTGAGGAAAAAGCTCTTGTGGAGAAACCCTCATTAGTTGCAGTTAAGAGTATGGTATCAGGGGCCAAATAGGCCTGTGTTTAAATCCTGGCTCTGTCACTTACCAGCTGTGCTCTCTTGGGCCTGTACTCTTTAATTCCTCATCTGTAAGGGATGCTAGTAGTGTACTTATCTCTTAGAGCTGATGAGTTTACCTAAAACATTTGTATAGTTTTTGGCCCATAATAAATACCTAGTAAATGCCACCTTTCACTTGGTATTCTTTAATCATATACCTACAGGTTGATCAGATAAGATTTATCTTTTATCTTTTGGAAATTATATAGCCTGAAGTTAGTAACCATTGGCATGTTTTCATGTGTTTGTAGGAGTATATAATACACTTAGTGTCATAAAATTTAGGTAGTACTTTTTAGATTCAATACTCTACCTTTATTCTCATGGTTTATTTTTTTAATGGCGTGATTGTAAGAAGCAATACGGCATGAAGGTTAAGAGCTCAGTCTCTGGAGATGTATTTGTATCTTGGCTTTTTTACTCAAGAGTTGTGTGACCATGGACAAGTTAGTTAACCTTTCTGTGCCTCAGTTTCCTCATCTGTAAAGTGGAGACAATTATAGTGCTGTTCTTAAACTGTCATTGTAAGGATTGAATGAGTCCATGTATATAAAGTACTGGAACAGTGCCTGGTATGTATGTAGCCCTATACCTGTTATTGGGTCATATAGTTAAAGTGCTCAGGCATGGTAGTTTTTCTCCTTGTGCCAAGAAAATGGATGTTGTGACTTCTTACAGTCTCTAGGGTAGTATTTTTCTTTTCATTAATTCCCTTACTGAGCTTGCTGAGGTACTCATCAAATGAGGAGCTAGCAGGCACAGCAGGAGTATGGGAAAGGGGTTCCAGTCCAAGGTGGTGGGCTGACAACGCAGGTTGTCCTTTGTTCTTCCTGAGACCATGAAAAAGATAATAAAGAAACTCACAAGAGAACAGCCTTCACAGCAGAGAGAGCAAGAGAGATGAACCAACAAAACTCCTAGGAACGGAAGGTAGAATCCTATGGATAAGTGAAATGGAACGCAGGCCGCAGCACGGAATGGCAGAAGGGGGCCACAAGGAAGGCCTTTTTTCTTTTTTTGTAATGAATCAGGAAATCTGGGCAGGTTTAATAATTTGGGTTTTGTGTGATTTTTTTTTTTTTTTTTAAACTGGCAAAATAGTTTCTGAATAAACAAATCAGTCAACGTAATTTTATTTTGGCTACACCTGGGCTTTTATTAAGTATTAGATATGAGGAAAAGGACAAAGATACTCATCTCATACAGGAATAAGGAAAAATATAAAAAATATTTTGAAGATTGTTGTATTCGAGATAATATTTGTAGATACCATTTTGATACTGAAACCAGGATAAAAAATTAGGCTTTGTATTTTCTAATTGTCTTTACGTTTGTTCTCAAAATCACATCAATTTACGTGCAGTAGAATCTGAATTTACAGAAGTACATAGGAAGTGAGATTTTATTTCTGATTAGATTTATTTTCACACTTTGAGATGGCTAGTGAAATTGGATGAGAAGCTGATTAGCCGTCAATTTTCTAAGGTGAAGTAGAACATTCTAACTCAGATTTATATTTCCAGTGCCCAAATATCAGTCTGAGCCCTAGTCCTTCCCTGTCTCTTAATGTCTAAAGTGGAAATCACTTGTTTAGCCTCTTCATCTACTCTGGTTACTTAAAGTTGCCAGGAATATTTTATTTCATGAACTGAATATGGATATACCTCCAAACAGTTTTGTCTGTATAACATCATACAAATGCAATCACTTGTTGTTAAATATCTTTGGAGTAGAAGCTTCCTTGTGTGATGATTCTTACAGTTACAGGTGATTTCGGTTTGTGCTAAACTGTGAATCTGAAGATGCATGTTGTTGTCTCGACTTGTGTTGCCCAGGTTGGTTCTCTTTGCCCTCTCTGGATCTCTGTTTTCCCAGCAAAAAGTATTTGTTCTCTCTGTGCAGAGGATTGTTGTGTGAATCACACGAGGTGAAGCAGATGAAAACACTTTTGGATACTCAAGCATGATACAGATATAGAGCAGTGGTGTATTTCTAATTCAGATAATGAAGAAAAACAAACATGCACCAGAGGGCGGGATTTTGCTTAAAGTAAATGACTGCTTTGGTTTCCAGCTAACTAAAGAAATAACTCAAACATCTTTGTTTTCTATATTTTCCAACCAACCAGAACCGGGACCAGTATTCACATCTGTTAAGTGATCACTTTCTCCCGTACCAAGGTCATAATTCCTTCCGTGAGAAATATTTCAGTGGCGTTACAAAAAGAATTGCCAAGGAAGAGAAATCTAGCCAAGAGTGAAAATTAAGATTTTGACAATGGAAAGAGTAAGGATTTAACAGAAAAGACATCTGGATGTGAACTTCCATGTATGATACAGATAACATATACTCTTTTAAATAATTTTATATAATGAAATAAATGCTCCAAAGTAAATTGAACACTTCTTTTACAATTAGCTTTGTTTTATAGATTATTTTGTTGTATGTGGTCTTTGGAACCTTATTTAATTTATATTTGTACTTTTAAGTATTATGGAAATTGAAAACAGTTATATTTTTGGTAATTAATTTGCAAGGGGAACTGATATTATTGACTTTTAAAACAGATACCTGTCGATACGTTATAAGCAGTTAACTAACCATGGTTAAGAATTTATTCATTCAGTAGGTTCATTTATTTGGTTTCTGATTGTAATTGATTTATAGTGCTAATAAAGCTTACTGAGGATTCCTAAAACTGTGTTGTATTCGCTGCTTTTCAGGGGGGAGGTGATAAAGGAAATGGACTTTTATTTATAAATTCCAGACTAGTATGTAATGACAGTGATAATGGTAAGGAGGAGAAAGGCTAGGACCTGGCAACCTGAAAAGCTCCCCAACTCCTTGAGGCCTGTCCACATCTGAAGCTCGTCTGTACCTTGGACTTGCTCCTGCATTCCTAGACATTGACTGTCGGTCAAGTTAACTACCCACAATTTTTGGTTTAGAAAGTAACCGATAGTTAAGAGCAGTAACAACAACACAAGTCCTTGATGGTTCCCTAATGGTACTAAGCCTAATCAGAGCTCTTTGAAATAGAAGCTATATTTTTCTTGAAGGAGAAACTTTGCTGAGTCTACATTGTGTCCATCATGAAAATATCTTGTTTGAAAACCACTCTACCCATTAATTCAGGATGCTAATAGCTTTCCTGCCCTCGGTGGTCAAATGTACCTCAGCAGGGTGGCAGTAAACGGATCCTCTCCTTCTAACCATAGCCTATTTTTATTTATGCTATTATTATTATTTTAGTGTTACTGCTGGCTTTTATGGACTTCCAATTTGAATCTGCATGGCTTAAGACTTCCAAAAGACCTGCCCAAGCAGAGAGAGAGGAGAGAGAGAGAGAGAGAGAGAGAGAGAGAGAAAGCTATCTGCGTAGTTCTCTCTCCTTTTTCTTGTCCTGCAACCCTGCATCTCAGCAGCTGATCTCAAACATTTCAGTGATTGTTTGGGTTTCTGGATGTGATTTGTGGTACACTGGGGGAAAGCTAAAAGTATTCAAGGATAATTTATTTTCAGTATTTCTGTTATTAAACCATCTTATTTAAAATTTTCTGAGGTTATATGGAGGGTGAGTTTGCAACTCTGTAGCTGACTAAATTTGGAATATGAGATTTTAGCCTTGCCCTGTTTTGTTTTTTGCTTATCACAAAAATTAGTCCAAATAGTTCTGGAAAAGTTACAACATTAATTTTAGTCACTTTGTCCTTAAAAATTATCTAATATTTAAAAAAATATTTCACATTATTTCTTATTACTACCAGCTGAGGTCTTCTGATTTTTAATTCTTCATCATCTCTTATCATCATGTTCAGTCTCCTATTCTTGAACTATCACTAGGTAGGCTCAGAGTGTAAATGTGTGTAGTTATTTTGAGTAGTTATATATTGGTACTCAGAAGTGAAAAAAAAACCTGGTCACTTTCAACCAATTTTGGTTTTAGAGCAGAGGTCTCAACTCCTCTTATTCTAAAAAAAAGACTTCATTTTCTGGCATCAGGATCTTATTACTTTCTGTATAAGTTATAGCAGATCATTTCCAGAGTGTTTTGGTTGTATGTGTGTTCCTCATGCACTTACCAGTAGAGTATCCCCTAGCAAAGTGCCTGCCTTTTGGATAGTCCTGTAGTATGAATTTGTAGTATAATCTGTGTGAACCCTAGGTGGTCTGTTAGCTGGCCTATTTCATGTATATAATATGACAAAATCTATCATTTTGTTTCTGGCATATATTAAATACCCATAAAATCCAGATGGGTACCTTGGTGGTGTTTCATCAGAAGTAACTTTTTTCCTATCCATTCTGGTGGGGATTTGTTTTTGCTATGATAGCTGAGAGGAAATAGTGGAACGGATGGTCTTTGGTGTGTTTAGCCAGAGTGGCCAGCAGATTAAAAAAAAAAAAAAAAAGAATTAAAACCTGCTACAAGTTTCTCAGCCACTTCCCGCCCATGGTGACCCAGGTTTTGGCCAGCTCACCACTAACTTCCTTATGACTAATTCTTTAAATACAAAGATTGAGCAATAAAACATTTCAAACTCTTTAAATTCTGGGAGGTAAGTCAGTGTTACCACTATTTCCTTGTGGAGAAAACTCACTTAAAATTTGAGATTCCCTTCATATTTAAGAAAAGTGGTGATTACAACTAGAAAGAACCTTATTTCAAGTTTGTTGGGATAGTCGAGTATGAGTTAACATACCAGATGCATTGTAGTGAATGTGTTTATATTATTGGATGAAAAATGTGCTTTAGAAGTTTGAGACTTAGAAACAGCTTTTGAGGTAATATGTTTTATACTCTTATAATTAAATTAAAGAAGCAGGGGTTTGACTTTTTTTTTTTTAAAGCATCAGGAAATTAGATATTAAGGTTGTATTATCTAGATGCCAATATAAGCAAATCTGGCTCTTGAATCAAAGGCCTCAGTTGTTTTGAGTTAGGAGAACTGCTGACATCCTATGCTGGAAGTATTATCAGGTATTGATAATCCAAAGAAATATGGAATTAAATATAATGTTTATGTGTTGGAAATTGAATGTGACATTTTTTTGGGAAATGATCTTTCTACACCATTTTAGTCTCCCTAAAAAAGCACAGTGGAAGTAAGCTGATGTTAATGGTTCTACTAGAAAAAAAAATTCTTTGTAGCTAAAGCAGGCCATAAGTAAATAAAGTCATTAATGGAGTATAGGGGTGGAAATGGAGGTGGGTGTTGTTGAGAAAATTGATGACTTCATTGTTGATTTTCCTGTTTGACCAAAAGGGAATAAATTATAGCAGAATAAGGACTTTGGCTCTTTTTACAAGAGCATGGTTTTGCTCCATTATAAAGTTATTTAGAAAACTAAACACTTGTAAGAATCTTTATTCTTAGAAGGATTGTATTCATAGAATAAGTGAAGTCTACTTTCATTTCCAGCTCACCCACTCCCATTTTTCTCAGATATTTATCAAGTAGTGTGGTTTGTAATCCAAACAAAAAAAAAATGCCTTAATCCAGAACATACACATGGACACAATAACACTAGACTGATGATGTTTGTACTTTACTAAAACATTGAGATCTTCTCTAAAACAGAGTGGTTTGAGAACATAAGGTCTAGAGTGTAAAGAATTATAATGGAATGATAAACATATCTGTGATTCTATCTAGCCATAGAATCATAGAGACAGCACGTTCCTGTCTATCCTTTGGGGTGAAAAAGCTTACTAGGGAACCTGACCCTATTTCCTTAACAGAGGCCTGCCTCAGGATGTTCATATGTTTCACTGTGTGGAATAAGCAAATTGACGTTTAGACATAACTGAGACCAACCTGGAATTTGGCTCTTACCCCTTCCTTCATAAGCCATTGAAGACAGGCTCTTAGGGGAATGGAGGCTAAATTGTCATGGCAGTTTCTTAAGAAGCCTGGGTCATGGAACAAAATGGAGCTTAATAGATGAATGTTAAGATAAGCCAGGCTCACTTTCTGTAACTGCCAGCCTTATTTCTTGGGGTATTAGGATGTACTCAGTATATTTTTGTTCTAGAATTTGAATGTTCTTACTAAGATAATATTGCAGTGATGCCAAACTGAATTGCTTAAAAAGGAATCTGCTTTGACCTCTACGCCTTTAAAATCTCTCCCTTAATCAAGCCTTCCTGACTCTCTCCTGAGGGCTTATTGGAAGAACTCTATTTTGTCTAACATCCAGCGGTGAAGATTAGCGGGGCTTATGTGTGAAGTTAGTCAAATTAAGAAAAAAAAAAAAAAGGCTGTGGAGAAAATTAGAATTGAAACCTCTAAATGGTACTTGAGTTGGGTTTTGATGGACTGTACAAATATTTTATCTAATGTGTTATAAGTTTGTGAAGTGGATCAGATGATCAAAACCAGTATTGGTAAGCTTTAGAAATCTGTGAAAGCTCCTTAAATATGTATTTATTTATTTGTAAATCATGCCTGGAGTATCTCACACAAGTCTGAGTGCTGCCAGCACAAACATCAAAACTTTCTTTTTTTGCATTATCTTATTTTTCTACAACTTACACCTATGGGGAAACAATTCTCCATAGGTATCTTGCATTTCTGTATATTTAAGGAGGTACCGACACTCTGCACCCTAGACTGCCTTTCTGGGGATGTGGGCACACCGCTGGAAGATAGAGTGTCTCCACCTCCTTTGCCCATGGCTCCCCCTTCTGTAAAAACTATTAGCAAACTACTGTGCTTTTGCCAAAGTTGAACACCTGAGCCATCCGACCTCCTGTTTCCATTGTGGAGGAGATGAAACAGACTCATAACTGTCAAGGTGAGAAGGGCCCAACAAGCCTCATTTGTCAGATGGAATTGGTATATTCAAAAGTGCAGCTGGCTTCACCCCAGTGGCAACTTGGATTAACATGAAAAAGTGGCAGCTACTTGGGGCAAACTTTATCTCTCATACCGTCGCCCAAGACAAAGGCACTGGCTCAATGGCATCTTTGGTTCATAAAGGTTACATTTCGGGGCTTTAAAAATACATTTAGGTTGTTGCATTTAGGAGATTCCTTCAAATCTGCCTCTTTCTCTGTGGATTGGCTATACGATAGCCCAGTGGTCTTCAGAGGGCTGCTATGGCTGTTTCTCTCAGTGCCAGATATCAGCAATGGGAATGGAGGTGGTTGGCTGGGTCAGCGGGCAGAACGCAAAGCTATTCTCATAGCTCCAGCCAATACCCTCCTTGCTGAGCCTTGTTATATTTTTATCGACTCTTAGGCTACTACTAGTGTGACCTATGGTTTGGTCTGTCGCTTGGAAAACTAGAGATTGGCAGATTAAAGACACCCTCCTTAGGGGCTACAAATAGTGGACACAGATTGTGGCTGCTGACAGAATGGTCTGGGTCATTCTCTGATGAGACCAACTAGAATAAAACAATTGAGCTGGCATCAGCCAAATTGCTCTCACTGTTGCCTGGACCCGTCATTGTCTCAAACACAGCAGCACACAAACCCACCATTTATAGACAGGACACAAAATGAAGGACAGTATTTCTGATGCAGAGCTACCAGACTTGTGACTCCTGCCAAAAGTTGACCTGGTTGCCTTGCGGTTTAGGAGACCACTCTGCATGGGGTGTTGTCCAGCATGCTCCTGGCAGATTGATTACTTCGGATCTTTGCCCCACTCTGAGAGAGCTATTGGTTGTGCATCACTGTTGTTGACACTT